TAATATAGCTACATTAATGTATTTATATTGTAAATAGCAATCATATTGATTTGGAAGGACTGCTTTGAGGTGACTTTGCTGAACTTTTTGAAGGGCTCTTGGCTGGAGTCTTCTCAGGAGTCTTGTCTGCAGGTTTTCCTGGACTCTTGTCTGCTTTCTTAAAGAAAGTGTCCAAGGAAGATTGGACAGATGTTCTCCAGGGAGACTGGCGATGCAGTGAACTTGTTCGCTGGTGTGGCGTGGCGTCAGATCAAGCGTCGTAAAGTCAAAAGTGACGTCAAAGTCGAAACAGGGTGTCAATTTATAAACGTCGTAAGCGCCGTCCATTGTAACTCAAAATGTCTTAAGGTGAGGACTGCCTGTACCAAATGATGGTGCAGTAACAACGGCAGTGTAGGGGCATGTGTGGAATTAAGCATGGAACTCATTGCCACCAGATGCTGTGGAAGCTGAAAGTTGAGCCAGATTCAAAAAGGGATTGGAGACATTCTTGGAGGGAAGGGGCATCACTAGCTACTGAGCACGGGAGTCAGGGATGTAGCCTCTGAATCAGAACTTCCTAGATCTAAAATACTGGAGGCTGTATGTGAGAGAAGTACAGTGGAAAAACCTCTTACCCAGTTCACTCTCCCTTTGAGCATCTATTCTCTGCCAGCGTGTGACCAAGGAAACTGGGTAAGATGGACCTATGGTCTGACCCAGTAAATAGCATTTTTTATGTTCTTATGATGTCAGCTAACTGCTGGCAACATGCTGCAGGGAGTACCAAGAGAAACTGTCTGGAAGGGCCCTTTTTCCAACATCTCTGGGTAAGAGAATAGTGTGGGTGAGAAATCAGGCCAGACAGAAACTCATCTTGTGGATGATCTGGAGCCCCATCGCTCCTCCCCACCACCCAGTTTTGAATGCTTGTGTGATATAGCACAGCACTTCCCAGGGTTTCTTGAGCTTTCCACCAAATCTAATTTTAATTCAGAATAAAAATGCAATTAGTGCTGTCTCTGAAGTCCTTTCAGAGCTTTGGCAATGTTTATCTAGTTATCATGGACCAAAAAGCTGCCTCTTCCTTTAAGGGATGCCACCTTCCTCCCCGCCCCAGTGGAAGAGTGATCTAACGGAGTACGATGAAAGACAAAAATCATATTCACACAGGGGTGGGCCTTGGATGCTGGCAAGAGCATTTCAGCAGATCACAAGCACTGCAAAGATGCTTTGCTTTCCTGAAGGCATAGTTATCAACCATTCTGAAAAAGGGTATCTATCTTACTTGTTTCCTCTGCAGCTCCCATTTAGGTGCTATTTAAACAGCATACGACTACACAGCAGCTTTCTTTGGTACACAATGTGGCATACGTGCAGCACACAGACAGAGAAGAAGACATGCTGTTAATCCTTCTCTTACAGTTTAAGCTAGGTACCATCCACACACAGCACGCAGGACCATCTATTTTAACATCTCATCCAGAGGCTGCAGTTGTGGGGCTGAGTTGATTCAGATGGGATTTGAACCACTTGTCCAAGGATATTCTGTATTTCAAACCTGAGCTTTGCTTTCTTGACAGGCCAGGACTGGTACATCCCTCAATGTTGTTGCTCGTATATTCCAGAGACTTGGGTACATTCTGTGTAGCAGAGATGATTTTTTTTGTAGTACGAGCACATGCCGTTTCCTCAAAGTTTTGTTTTTTGCCCTTACCATTGAGTTTGAGGTTCCTAGGCATGTGGAGCAGATACGTACAGTGCCGAACTCTTCATGTGCAGCTGACTTGAAGGATAACCCGTTTTCTGAGCTCCTGCGTGCAGGCACGGCAGATTAATTTTGTTGAATCTCAAATGCCATTTAGATAATCAGCAAATATGTTCTAGACATGGGCTCGTCTGCTGCTGCCTTTTTATTTGAGCTCCTCTTTGCTCAGCATTATTACCTCCCTGGGCTATTGACTTTGCTACTGTGTGAAGTGACATCATAAAACAAGCCCATTGCTTTTGGGCTCTAAATTATGTAACCGGAGCCCTTCAGTGCTGAGTGTGTTCTGTCATCTCACTTCTATTCTGTTCTTCCAACAACCATCTTTGCACTCTGACTTTGTGAATGGACTTTGATAGAAGCATGTAGAATTCCTATTTGTTCTCATTTTCACCGAACTAAATGCTTGTCATGTATAGCTGTGCCCCCAATATGTGTAGCACAGTGAAATAAAGTGTGTACAGTATCTTTTCACCTTCTTTCCCTGAGCACCTTCACTTGGCATTTATACAGTCATCCAGTAACTGAGCACCTCACAGCTATCCATGCACAACCTCAACAATGCCCCTGTGTTATAGGGAGCTCTTCCCCACCTTTTATGGAGACGGCATCAAGGTAGAGGGGAGACTGGATGATTTGAGCACAGGGACACAGCCAACCTGGGATGGAAGCTCTGATCTCTGAAATCCCTGCTTAATGTGCTGTTCTTCTGAATGTCCATCCTACCCTGAGGCTACTACCATACCCGGGCCCATATAAGAGCCTGCAGAGGTAGATCTCATGCCTCCCTATCTCAGACTGTCCAGTGAACACTCTCCATTCAGGCTCAGCGTGTTACTCCTGTTGTTTAGTCTGTCCAGTTTTGCCAGAATTTATCACAGAATTGCCTGCGTAAAATGCCTGGGGCAGTAATTTCCTGTTACATATAAGCTGGCACCCAAAATGGGCTTTCTAGGTTTCCTTAGTAATTGATGCATTACAGTCTGCCTTGGTGGCAGCCAGGGCTGCAGGTAAATACTGTACGTCAGTCTTGAGGTATGCTTGTTTGGCACACGAAGGGCCAGCAGATGTGAGCAAGTACAAAGAAGCGTGTCTCTAAGATGCCAGTGCAGAAGTGCCGGGACAGAGAGCAGGCAGGCAGCAGAGGCCTCCAGAAACATTAGGCAATCCTCCTCCGTCGTCGTTAGTTGGCACTTGTGCAATGTGGGTGCAATCAAGCAAATGTAGCTATGGCTGAGGACCATGAAATTCTCATGGCCTGGACACAGTCATAATCAATCAGCGACAGAGTATGAAAACTTGCTCTGTGGCTTCAGAAAGCTGGTGTACATTGAAAAACCATTGCAACACACCATCAAAAGGAGCCCCTTAAGCTTGTAAAGCCTGCAATGATGCTGGATGTCCTCATGATTTTACAAGCTTTGGTTATCGGGGCTGGGATGAAGCCTTCAGCTCCACTCGGGGAATCCTACAACTGTTTCTCCATAGCATAGGTGCTGGCTGAGCTAGTCCTCCAGACTCCATCTGCCATAACTGCCCTCCCCAGCTGCTGACAAGAATCCTGGCCACTCTGCAAGGGGTACTTTAGGGGCACTGGACTGCACTGGTACCACCAGCACAGCGTGTGGGTGCACAAAAACGGTCCCATTGTAGAGCAGTGCTGTGATGTGAATGAACTAAACCGTTTTGAGAATGAGCACGCAGTCAGTATCATGCCTTGATAAAGACACAAGCATGCTCAGGGGGAGGGGATACTTGCTAAGACAAGAGGCCTCAATATATACAGTGAGCAGCGGAAATGGCATATTTTAGTTGCAGCCTTCTCCGAGCAAATATAAACATGAACAAATAAAAATCGGGGGATAATGTGAAGGGTGGCAAGCGACCTCTGCTGAGGAGAGAAAGAATCAGCAATGCGTTCGCAAGGTATTTAGCTAAAAAAAGATAATTTGACCGAAAAATGACACAGACGCACATACACATGCAATTTGCCAGGAAGGACAGAAGCTGAGACAATGTCACAGGACCAGGCTGGAGTCTCATGCTATATTAGCGTGTGCAAAAGGCTGTCCTGGGATAGTCATACATTAGAATATGAGTGAAGGGCGCTCCGCTCGGGGAGCTACCATGCTGCAGTCTCTTGTCCCTGCTTCTGGGTTCCTGATTGACTAGCCGCTTCCTCAGTGGTATCCGGATTCTCCTTTGGATTCAAGCAGCATCTTTCTGCCCCCTTTAAGGGCGCTCCCCTAACACGCTGACAAGCTCAAGCCCAGAACAGCGACCTTGCCTTGTTCCACCCGAGGCCTTTTCCCGTTGCCTTGTCACAGGCCAACTTTAGTGGGTCAGCCCTGGCTAACCATCTCCCTCCTGCTCTTCCACTCCTGACCGGCAGCTCAGACCCCCGCCCAGAGGATGCTTCGCTCAAACCCACACCCAGCCCGAAGAAGAGGGTGCGACTGGGAGACGGACGCCAGGCACCAGCATCTCTAGACAGGCTGCAGCCAGCTCTGGGCCCAGAGGGAACATTTACAATTCAGTGCAGAAGCACGCGGGCAATGGGAGCTTGGCAGAGCCTGTGGGGGAAGCACCCCATCTGCCCCACAGCCTCCCTGCGCTGAGCCCCAAGGAGCTGAGCCCCCCTCACTCCCCTGGGCACCCCCAAGCTGCAAGCTGACTGCAGGGTGAAGCCCAGCAGAGCGCCCCGAGAAGGATGGGGGGCTTGCACACACTCCGCCTCCCCCTCCCCCAGATCACACCCCCCTTGGCAGCCCGGCTGCGAGCACACAACTCTGCCCAGGCGAGAGGCTCCGGCCGCGCCAAGGGAGTGTCTGTAAATCATCATCACATCCGACAACGCAACCCGCGCCTTAACCCTTCCTTGGCCCCGGCCGCGCTGAGCGGAGACACCCCCGGCCCGCGGATCCCCGGCGCGTGGCCCCCTGCTCGGGGGGGAGCTGCCGCGGCTGCCGGCTCCCCGTCCCCGCGTGGGGCCCCCCGGCCGGGGGGGGGCCTGCCGCGGCTGCAGGCTCCGCGGGGGCAGCGCTCCGCGTCTCAGCAGGGCTGGGAGCTGCTCCTATGCAGCAGGGGGAGGCCCGGCTGGCAGCCTCCTTCTCCCCTGCAGCCCGGGGCCAGCGCCCCGGCCCCGCGCGTCCCTGCAGCCCGACCCGAGCCGACCCGACCCGCACCACGCGGCAGCGGAGCTCCTCTCCCGGCCCTTCCCGACGCGGGGGAAGAGTCGGGAGTTTGTACTCACCCCCTGGCCGCCGCTGCTCGGAGTCTGGAGACCGGCTCTGCTCCCGGCTCCATCACGTTTAGTGCATTGTCTCTCCCGGGCGAGTTTCGCAGGGATCCATCAGACCGGGGGGAGCCGGCCGGGCTGTGGGTGCATCCTTCCCAGGAGCGCGGCTCTCTGGCTCTCTAAGGGGCTCGGCCGTGCCAAAGACACCCCCCGGCCCGGACGGCCACCTCCTTCCTCCTTCTCTTCTGGGTCCTTTGGCTTACACGGGTCTTTTAATCCCATTTAACTCCCTCTCGGCAGACTGCAATTACCTTGGGAAAAAGGAGACACAACACAAAGTACAAGCTGGGAAGAGAGGCTGGCCCATGCTGGCTGGGTTTCTTTCTTTTCTTTTTTTTGTTTTTTTTTTTTTTTTTTCCCTTAGTGCAATTTCTGCGATCCCTTATTTCCAAAGTCCTTTGGCTGAAAGGGCTTTTTTTTGGTTTTGTTTTGGTTTGGGTTTTTTTTTTTTTTTTCTCCTGAGTTGTTACATTGGGTTTTCGCTTTGCTTTGCTTTGCTTGGGGGCTGGCACTGCTTATCTTTATTTGCCAGGCAGATGTGCTTCCCGCCCCCCTCGCGGCTCTCCTCTGGACCCGGAGGGAAGAGGAGGAGGGGGAAAAAAGAGGAAAAAAAAAAGAAAAAAAAAGAGGCAGATTTGGAGAAATGAAAATGATTTCAGGGATGCCTCTCGCTGCTGCCCTCCTCCGCCCCGCTGCAGCCACGCACCAGCAGCGGCAGCCCGGGGAGCTCCGCACGAGCCCTCCCCGGCTCTCCCGGGGCAGCGGAGCCGAGCCGGCCCGGCCTGCCCAGGGGGCTCACAACGGCGGCATCAACCTGGGCTGCAAACCTGCGAGAGAAACCCCCCTCCCCGGGCCGCTCTGCCCGCCGCCGGCTCTCGGCAGCAGCCGGCAAGAGACAAAAAGAAAAGGGACATCGAAGATTTCTCCCCCTGCTGCCGAGGGGTGTGAGCAAGTGCCTGATCCCTCCCCTCGCTGCTCCCGCCGCCTCCTTGTCTCGGGCTTGCTGGCAGCTGATGGGGCAGGTGGCTGCGATGCTGCGAGCTCTGTCCCCATCCGACCCCCCCACCCCCTAGACGCCCCAGTGCAGGGGCAAGG